GCACATCACGTCTGCAAGCAGCCCAGCATTATTTTTGCTCCCAAGGACTCACCAGAGTGATGGAGAAGTGAAGAAATGGGCACAGCCTGGATCTGGGCTGGGCACAGAGAGTGGCTCTCCCGATGCCTGCCATGGCACATTGGCCTCTCGGCCATGCTAACATTTTCAATATGCCAACAAGTTTCCCATATATAGTATATTTCCCAGCCTGTGAGCCTTGCCAAGGCCTCAGTGCCTTCTCTTGAAGCAATAAAAGGCATTTGTGATGTTTCTGTGCTGAACTGTGGGAAAAGAGCAGCAAGAAGCTGTGACCCCTGGGCAAGGGCATGCTTTGGAAACACCGTCATCAAAAAATCAACACATCAGCCCAGAAGGCCCACACAGCCGATCTCCTCCTGCCTTATCGGAGAGAGGGCTCCTCTGGATGCTGGGGCAGCAGCCACCGGACATTTTTGAGATGTTTATTCTATCCAGTGTTGATACTGAAGTCAATATGATAACTAAAAATAAAGATTTAAAAAAAAAAATACACTGCAGCTATTTGTTCCCGAGTTGTTATGTTTACCCATACCAGCCCGGCTTTCCATTTCGGCAGGCCGGTAGTACCAGATGTTCAGTCATTTTCAGCAATTTGGTCATATCCCAGAAGATTTAGCCCACTGGAGCAACTATATTAAACATGCCTGTAATTTTCCACTATGACTGGAAGATCATGTTCCTCTGGGGCAAGCGATGGCTGGCCTGATGGGCCCCATGCACATGGAACCGGCACAGCCCCAAGGCCTCTCCCAGCTCTCGTGGTGGCAGGAGGGGATACCACTTCTGCAGCTCACCAGGGCTTGGTCTGGGAGGTGCCAAGGGTGGAGGCAGCCTCCCTCAGCAGCACCTCCTGGGAAGTGATGGAACATGCTGTTGGGGTCCATGGCCTGCCCAGTACCCCTATGGCCAGCTGCAGCTGCAGGGAAGGATGCGGCCGGGGCTGCTGGTGGCTTCTCCTCCATTCCTCCTTGCCTGGTTGGTGTTTGTTGAGGTGGTCTGAAGAGCAAAATGCTCTTTAACAGAATAAAAGAAGATGTTTCACCTAAACACCTCTGTCCAGTCACCTCCTGCTTCCGGCTGAACAGGCTGGGCAGAAGCACCTGCCCCACAGACCTTGCAGAGCTACAGGAGAGCTCACCTTATTTGCAGATGTTTACTTGTGAGCAATCATGTGTGTAAGGTGACCTCCCTGAAGGAGGATGTGGGACACCTCTGAGTACAGCCTCCTCCAAGCACCCAGCTTCAGGTTACTGAAAACTAATGGGCAGATCTGGGTGGCTCATCCAGCTTTCTTTCACAAGTAGCAGTAGTGGCAGAGGACAGTGGAGAAAGCTTCACTTGCAGAGCAGCATATGGATTTAGCTTAGTGCTTGGTCCTGACAACCCTCATGGCACAGGATGTGAGCTTGGAGAGATGTACCGTGGAAGGAGGGACTGAAAACTTGTTGTTGGGGGTGGGTGTTCTCCTTCTCTGCACCATAGCATCTGCTGCAGGTTTGGATCTTATGCAGACACACTGGAGGGGCTGTATTTGCCATGTCCTCTTTGGGTCTGTGCTGTGGTGGCAGCTGGCTCCAACACATCCGCTTTAGCTCCTCCAACCCAAGTGCATGTCTCCAGCTGAGAGTCACTCCTGCAATGCTGACAGAGAACCAGGAGCACGGGGTCTCTGGCAGCCAGCCCCAGCCCCCACCACTGACCCCCGGCTGCTGCTTACATCTAGCCTCCTGCATTGGGAACAGGGATGCTCAAAGACTCTACCATGCTTTCTTCAGTGGCAGGGAGGTACTTGCTCTTTAGGTGCAGGCGAGGCATGAGGACAGCACGGGCATGCTCTAGGGAGAGCTGCTGCAGCTCCTGGTGCCACTGCCACCAATTTGGTCCCTGAAACCCTGGCACCCACCTCTGCCCTCCTCTTGCCAGGGGCAGCGTGGTCCAGAGAGGGGCAGCTCGGCCTCTGGGAAGTTGCCAGATTTGCCTCCATCAGCAACTCTTGTCTGTAAGGCCAGAAGGGTATTTGTGGAAGAAAAGACCCTTTTGTAGATGCTGCTGTGCACCCAAACTGGCTCTCTGCCAACTCTTGATTATGACCAGGTTGGTTTTCCTGCCACTGGCTTTTGCCACACAGCAGGACCGGTGAAAGCATTGCTACTCCTGGAGTCGTCAAACAATAAATCTGCTCTTCAGGTGGGCAGGGAAAGACATCCTATTCTTATCCATGTAACAGACGGGATTAAACAGAGAAACCAGGCAGGCTTCTTCCATGAACTCAGTTGCAAAGATTTACTGTCTGAACAAGATTTTCTTGATGAGAAGGGCTTGGCTGGCCATCTTGTCACATATGGATGGAGGGATGTGCAGCTTGCCCTGCTCTCGGTAAAGGGACATTCTCCTTCCAGCCAAAATCCTCTCACAGAAGTCTCTCATGGGCAGATTTGCCCTACAGAAGCTAATCCCTTTCCTTCGTAAAACCACCAGTGCACAGACCCAAGGTTAGGACAGGGGTCAGACAACGTGCCATAAGCAGCATCTGCCACCAGAGCCATCCCTGTTCCCTGCGGTGCTCGAGCCAGCTGGGACTGTGGGCCTCTCCGCTCACACCTTCCAGCTTTCACGATGCCACATTAACCACCTGGCCATTGCAATTGTCATTCTAATGGCATTAAAATGAAATTAAGCTAAAATACGTCAAGCAGGTAAAGCCACGAAGTTTTAAACCAAAATGGAGGTATTGGAGGCTCTTAGTCTCCAAGTGCCACCACAGGAGGAGTCGTTCAATGCCCTCTCCTCCTCTGCTGGGGAGATGGGTGCTGCTGCAGCGTGCTGCCCTGGCGGTCACTGATTAATTGGCCGCCCAGGGAGCTGCTGCCCACGCTGCGGCTTACGCCTCGACCCCCCTGGCTGCTCATTTCTGATGCTTGACTTCACTCTGTGGTCTTTTTACAGACTTTTTGCCACAGCACTCATTTCCCACAGCCTTTTTTTCCACCTTTACAGTTTCCAATGTTTCAAATGTAGGGAGTGAGCCCGATTCCCGTCATGCCCCGCTTGCTTTTTGTAGGTAACTGCTCTGCAGCTCAGCCATCAGGCCCGTGTGGATGCAAGGATCTGGCCAGCTTTGAAAATATTCAGGTACAATTCCCCTTCTTCTGAGAAGAGCCTATGATTAAGCCTCCAAAAAGCATCCATGCTGCTTGGTTTTTTACCATATGGTGAATATTAACCCCCAAGAGAGGAAACTATCCCACATGGCAGCTTCTCCCTACCCAGCTCCACCTTCGCTGTGCTCTCTAGTGCAGGCACAAAGACTGCATTGCCAGTGGCATAAGCAGTAACAGGAGATGAAGATGTTGAAATCATATTATATTTATTACATACATGAGATATAAAAACAAATTACCAAAATAGTATCATTTTTTTTGTGAGTCCACAGGACCTTGAAAGAAAAATACATACGTAAAGCGGATTGGTAGACTCGTGTCTTTTCTGGTGTTGTATGTCTTCTTTTCCTTTCCCCTCACACTCATGAACAAAACACACTTTATGCAATGTGGTTTAAAAATGCTTTACAGAAAAGATATATTTTAGTGCTGAAAACTGCGGTAAACTGTGCTATATTTCATACTGGTGTTAATAAGGAAGTATAATGGCCATATATATTGCAAACAATAACACAGAAGAAAACATAAAATGTTCAGTTTTAAATACTAACATAAAAATAAAATAAACTCCAGGCCCACCATGAATCACTGGTTGTGATATGCGAACGCGAGTCCTTTCCGTTCTCCGCATCCACTCCTTTCCCTGCAGGCAGAGTTTTTCTCCTCTGGCAATTGCATTTTTTGTCTCAAAGTCTATTCTTCTCATGCTGCTTGTGAAGTCTTGCTGGAGTCCTGCCCACGGGGTCCAAGTGCTGGTCTGAAGCTGGGACTTCAGTGCAAATACTTTATCTTTCAGACTGTGTCCTCAGATACTCTGAGTGGCCAGTGCCAGGCTGGCCATTCCCTTTATACCGTTAACGCCATCCAACTGGGGGGGGGTCTTCAGGAGTGCTTCTGTTTCAGGGAAGTTTTTTTCACGTGCCGCCTTCAACCTCTTCTTTCCCCAACACAAATAGACTTCCCACACCGTGAAGTGGCAGGTAGTAAAGTGCTTTATAGGATGAAATATTTACACTAGGGCTAGGTTCATTTTTTAACACTTCAAGGACAAAAGCTCAGAGATGCTGCACCCTCGGGAGCCAGCTCTTCTCCATGGCCGTGCGGTGGGTGGAGGGCTGGCCTCTGCTTGTGCCACGGCAGAGGGATTCGATTCACTCCAGCAGCTCCGTTCTCACCAGCACTGGCTGAGAATGTAGCCCCCGAAACCTTCAGTGGGGTGACCAGGTTAAAAGCATGCGGTACTCGATTATCTTTGACAGGTGCCACGTCCTAATCCGAGGGGGTGTTTCTAGAAAGTGGTTGTCACCGCCACGCTGCCGCCAGTGCCCACTCACCACTGCAGCAGTCATCTTCCCCACAGCATCCTCCAGGAGCCTCTGGAAGTCACTCAGGATCTGTGCGGGTGGCACTGGCAGCAGTGTTTTGCTTCTCAGCTGTAGCTCGTGGGCATGGTTTCCCTCTCTAGGGTGGTAATTTAGTCTGGGGCGATCAGTGGCTTCATCATCTCACTGGAGTTGCTCCAACATCTCACTGGAGCAAGACAAGCATCCACCCTTCCTTTTGTTTCCCTCAATGTAGTGATGAGCTGGGCTCAGGCGAGCCCCTGGCAAGGAAGCTACAGGCAAGTCAATGAACATTGGCCAGGAAGGGTTAAATTAGACAGCGCTTACAACTCTGAACGCCTCGCTACACGTTTTGGCACTATTTTCTTACATTCCAGTTTTCATCCTAGAGGTCTTCTCTCTGTGAAGGCTGTTGCATTTTGTGCATAAAGAAATGCCCTTAGGCGGTTGTGCACCTCTAGTTGCAGTCTCTTTTCAAAATCTCCAGGACCTTTCTTCTGAGAGCCGACTTCCACTGATGGACAAAACTCTTCATGTTGACGATGAGTCTGCCCGTTCGGACATCCTCGTGTCCTGCCACGAGGTACTCCAAGCCTGCAAAGCAGCAAAGCAGTCAGGAACTGCACAGCACTATGCTCAAAAGGCCTATTGATGCTGCAAAGTCAGCCTGGATATCTAGTCCCATTTAAAGAAGCACTTATATGAAGAAATATTTATACATATTGCTTCTTTCATATATCAGTATATCTATACCTCTATCTGTATCTGTGGAAAAACGACCTCTGTGGCACATCTGTCTATGATATACAGCATACAAACTTTGACTTTGTTGGCTTCTCAATATAAGTGGAAGCTGAGGTCTGAGGCAGCACTACAAGTTTTTATACCTCGTTTGTGAACTGCTATTACCTTCATTTGGCAGCCACCAACCTCACGCCTCCCTGAATATACCTGGGCCCGGAAATCAGTCAGTTCAGCATATTCCAGCAATGACAGCATAGGATGGCCCAGTGCTGGTGTCTTGCTCAAAATGGCCGGTGTCCCCGGCACACTGGACCCTGATGAGAGGCAATACTAGATTTGCCTGTGCAAGCACCCCAGAAGAATCCGAGAGGGTGTCAGTCACACTGAAAAGAGATGCCTCAACTTTTGCCTCCACCAGATACTTTAGAGACATGACAGCAGCATCTGGTGAAGCCTTGCCTGGTGTCCAGAAGCTGCCAGAAAGGGCTGGAGAGCAGCCCCACAGCACCCGCCGGAAGGCTCACCCCGGGCATCAAAGTCTGCACTTGGCTTTCAGGGCAAGTGCTTGGAGCCAGGCAATAACTGCTAAGCTGGGGACAGAGAGAAGTCTTTGGCTTGAATTAGCTAAAGAAGCACTGCCACAGACCCCAACAGCCAAAATGGGCCACAAACGTGCCATAAATTGGGATAACAAGGAGGGTAATTCCTCCCGTGGCAGGAGGAGCTCCCTGCCAGGGCCAGCACCCCGCTGCAGCACGCTTGTGGTGCAGCAAGCATGAGAGCCCCCAACTACCCCCTCCTCTTCCTCGCACTAGTATGGGGAGCACCACGTGGTGGTATGAACTAGCCTGGGTGAAATGTGTCTCCCCCAGTGCTCTTGGTCACCCCACTCCATCCTGGCCACAGCAGGGAGCCTGCTCATGTTTTCTTGGGTATTCATTTTGTTCAGAATAAAGTGTGAGTGTCCCCTAATTAAAGGTCAATCCTGTTTTTCTTTAATTCAATACCATTTGTTATCTACTTCATCTGAATTTTTGGGGACACGCGTCTCTTCTGCCAAGTAAACACAGGATATGTGCATGGCAGTATCACCCTTTGCAAGACATTCGTTTTGGCCATGTCAAGCCTGCTGTTATAAACATCCCTCTTCAAGGGCTCCTGAATCTTTCTCCATCGAGAGAGAAACGTGGCATGCACCCTCAGAGAGCAAGAAAATATTGCCGTGATTGCTGATTCAGTAGAGCTTTCTAGATTGTCAGCCGGACGTTACAGGAGTGTAAAAATAAAAGGAATCAAACGACTGAGATGCTGCAAGCCAGGACTTGAGGCTGTCAGTTTTGCCCTGCGCTGCTGGCAGGCAGCTCTCTGCCTATCTGTGTCTGTGCTTGGCAGAGCCGAAGAGGGGAAGGGTCTCCTGTTACTTTGCGGACAGCCGAGACCTTCAAACCTTTTGGCTGAGTGTCCCTCCAGAAGTCCAACCTGCCTCTGTGGGTGCATGCACAGGGGAAGGTGTGCAAGGGTAGTGAATATCCTCTCGTCAGAACATAAGCACATTTATCGTCTGAAAACAGCCCATGGAGATTCGATAAATGCTTGGAGTTTCCTGTATAGCTATACATCAGGAAATTGTCTTATGTCAGCTTGGCTTTTTATCTGTCTGATTTTGGTTTATTCATCTGGAGGTCATAAGCTCTTACTCTGAGAGAGGGTTAAATCTGTTAATATAGTGCTGCTGACCATCTAGAAATGAATGTGGTAGCTGAAGAAAATAATGAACTTTAAAAAAAGATTTGGGATCCTTTTTTTTCCACTTTGCAACGATTGAATCTTAAAGGTGCACCCAGTTGATGTTTTCAAATTCCCTGTTAGGACCCAATTGCACAACTTCTTTCCAACATGAAAGCTGAGATTAATTTATACTCATAGGACTCCATCAGCTGCATTTCAAAAAAATACCAAGCTTTGTAGTGTTAATCATGACAGCTGGCAAGGGGGTAAAACCCCACATGTCAGATGCCTGGAGTGTCCCTAAAGACAATTGCACCTCCACCCTTCCACTAATGTCCAAGGGATCTTCATTGATTCTGTGATTACTGCTGTCTTTTCCTCTGCTGGGGAAAATGAGCGAAGCTCCTCTGAAGTTACTGGAGTCGCAAAGCTGGGTGTCAGCTCTGTGTCCCTGCACAATCAGTGTCTGACAGCTTCCACAGCATTCCTCCAGGTTCATATTAAGGCTTTCTTGCTTGTGTTTGCATTGCATATGGAAAAATAAAACAGCTGTAATCTATTTAATTATAGATTTATGGCATTTTACCAATATCCAAAGTCTTACTGTGCTTAAACAGTAAAGTCCTGCTTAACGCTGCCGATTGATCTGACCCTTCCGCCTGACTAGAATTCCCGACTACCACTGTGCAGGGCAGCTTGCCTTCACAGCCAAAGACAGTCACTCTGGTGAAGATGAAAGAAGACCGCAAACACCTCTTCAATGAATAACCTTTCTGCGTGATCTAGCCTCGCAGACAGCACTTTCCACTCAGAGGAATTTCCTAGTGCTGCACACATAAGGGATGTCTCAGCACTGAAGTCAACGCTTCAGTCAGTGATTTCCAAGCGATGTGTGAGCCTCAGGGAAGGAAAACCCTTTATCTGAGTTAGTTGGTAACTGTTGGTTTATCTTGGAGTTGTAAAGAAAGGTGTGTCAGCTGGAGCTTAGTTTTGCTTTATTGAAGAAAACCCTGAGTTCGCTTCTCCTCCTCCATACCAGAGAGTGCACTCACTGTTTAGCCACAACTGGTTATACTCCATTTCAGTGAAAGAAGATAAGAAAAAACTGTGAAGCCAAAGCTGCCCGCTCACTGCGTAAGAGAATCTCTTCCAAATCTTGTAGATGTAAATTAGCCTCACTTTCAAAGAGACATCGTCCCTTGAGTTTAGATTAGAAATCCAGTACAATATCATAACTCAAACTAGATTTAAATGCATTTTTATGGATTCAAATTAGTATTGGGTTTGAAAAGATATGTCATGTAGTCATGGTGTGATACACACCTCCCTCCCTCTGGGAACAGACTGAGACTGGTAAAGCTGTAAGATTGTCATTATGCTTCATAAAGAGAATCATATATTTGAAAGTCTATAGAACGAAACAAGTTTTTCTCTACAAATTCAGATTTTATGGAGATTGCTGTTGGAATACAAATGCTGTAACAGCCAATAATTTAATCAACACTGGGCTGCAGTCTCAGCTCATTGGCATGAGGGGACAGAGGTGTGGGAATAAAATCTGTATAAACGTGCTGGGGATGTACTGCTCAGGGAGTCCAACCTACCAGGATTGAGGATGGGACAAGTGCAGCCTCTGTTAGTCCAGGATTCAGGGTAGAGCGTCCTCTTGCCCCGGAGGATCTTCAGCTTTGTAGATTTCAAGACTTTCTTGATCTTCACATTGACTTCTGCATGGGAGCCTTTGTCATGAGCTGACAAGATCTTTGTCTTGATCACTGGGAAGACACGAATTCAAACCCAGGAATATATGAACTATTTACAACAGTCTTTTTTGTTTGGATTTTTTTTTTTTTTGGTATAATGCAGGTGTCTGGGCTAAGTGGTGAGGACAATTACTTCATTACAGTGGAGTTAGCCCAATGGTCCTTGCTGGGGAACCCAGGGTCAGCGCAGCGGCTGGGGGAAGCGCAGGAATGCTGCCGGTTGGTTAGGCCATGGCCTCTGGTCCTGCCACATGGGCAGTGGGAGAGGTCCAATGACCCGATTTTCAAAACTTGTGAGGGCCCCATTTTTGCCCACAGCTCAGCAAAGACTTTGGCTTCCTTAGCACTTTCGGAAATCAAGCGGAAAGCCTTGCTTTTAGGGCTGGACCTGCAGCCTTTGCCAGCCTCAGCCCAGGCAGGCCAGGCAGCAGGCAGGGGTGCAAGGGGCTGCCCCCATCCCACCCTGGTGAGCACTCCTACTGTCGGTCCTCCCACTTTGCAGAACCACCAAATGCAAATGCAGTGGCGGAGACTGAGACGTTGGTGGGGACTGAGGCAAATCGTGGAGCATTTTGAGCTCACAGATGCCCACAGGCTCACCCTCTCCACCTGGTATCCCGCCTACTGAGCCCCTGTGTAATGGAGGCTCAGGTCTCACGTGTGAGCCTCCCCCCAGCCATGCTGATGCCTACAGTGGTCGGTATCACCGTATGGTGGTGTTTTATTCAGTGCTGCACGTTGGGAAGCTCAGGGAAACCTTTCCTCCCACACTATGGCCTCCTGAAGCTCATGATGAGCCCCATAATTCACCTGTATCTGCAGCGTAGCAGACACCTTTGCATGTTGAGTGATAAAAGGGTGGGAAGCCTGCGTGCACTGTAGATAAGATTTATGAACTTGGGGGTTTTGTGATTTTTTTTTTTTTTTGTTTCTTATCTTTTGCAAGATTAAACACAGTCACTATCACGGCCAGCGAGCAAAGCAAAGCAGAATCGGATTTTTTCCTAATGTTGCTAAGCCAGGGCTATATTTCAACAGCTGGCGGCCCCTTGAACTTCCCTTTGTGGGTTGGTCCGCAGCCTGCAGAGGTAGGGGTTATCTCTCCGTGCATTTTCAACCTCAGTGCGAGATGAAACAGGTGCAAGAGACCCCTGGAAGACTGTGAAGGAAGGGAGTGCTACACAGAGCATTCCTTGCTCTGCTGCGGTATGAAGGAGGCGGCTCACTGGCACGCACTGGAGAGGTCTTGGGAAACAAAGCGCCTCCTCTCATTTATTTAAATCCCACAGACACATAGACAATATACATCCCCCCCCATTGCAACAGCTGAACTTTGTTGACAGGGGGAAGCTCCCAGTAGCTGCCGGAGCCGTTTTCTCCATGTAGTGGCTTGTATGGTGACCACTGTCCCTCCTTACTTTCAGCGTAATTCACATTTAGTGGTTTCTAGGCCGTTCTTGGGGCACCTGGTCTACAGACAGAGTTTTAGTGACCTATTTCTGTTAAGAGTGCTTCCCAGTCTGTCTTGGACCTAGACAACCTCTGAGGGACTCTTCCACCTCTTGTCCTCCCATGATTTTGGCACAAGAGTATTTTGGCAGCAAGAGAGGTGGGTAACAGAGCAAGACGTTTCACCCACCTTGACTTGGCACCATGATATCTACACATTTTGGAAAAGTCAAAGATCTGCCCCCAGACTAAGTAGCCCATGGGTTTGCAGGGACGGAATGGTGCACACAGCAGCACCTCTCACACTTCACACTCTTGCACTGCCTCACAGCACCTCCCTTTACACCCTCACCCAAAACTCACCGTAGGTGTACTTCATCCCACAGAAGACCTTGGGATTCCCTAAAACTTGCTCTTTACATTCGCATTTACCTGGGGAAAAAGAAGGAAGCAAAAAGCTGTGGATTGTGCTTAAAAGATGGAAGCCTTCGCGTGCAGAGCCTGAGACCTGCCAGAGGTTTTCACATGGTCCACAAGCCCTATGCAAAAAAAAACCCCTATTTTCAGATCCAGGCTGAACAGACAATCTTAGTCCAAGGGCAATGATTCCTTGTTTACAATTTGAAGAGAAGGGAAACAAAGGCCTTATTATTTTGCCTCGGGATGCAAATAACACGCATGTCTTTCCCCACGGTATTTTCCACACCGTAATGTACCAGACAAAATTTTGAAAGGAAATGTTGCAGAGGTTAAGGCAGATTAATGACTTCCGTGATCTTAGAACAAAGAATAACATGATATACTTATTTACATTTAAAATGAAGTTGTCCAGACAAACGATAGAGCTTTCCCCTCAATTAACTCAATTATTGTATCTTTGAGATTTTATCATGCCGCTTGCTGAAAATGCAGGAAATGACGCTCGCCTGCCTGCATGCAGCCATTGCAAGGGAGGACGGCTTGATGCTGCACCGTGGGGACAAACTCATGCAGCAACCTCATGCAGCACCCTCCTCCTTCAGACTGTGGGGGGAAATAACTTTCCCAGCTGAAACCATAGCTGAAATGCCAGGCAATCTCGAATTGCATCATAAGCTGCAACTGAGGCCAAAATTGCTGTGGGTATCGGGGAAATAAATTTCTATTTGGAAATTTCCAATTCCCTGCCTGTGACGTGGCAAAAAACACCCTCTAAATATTGTTGCTTGTCCGACGTGTAGTAGTTCTGGTGAATACAAAAACACATTTAAAACATGGTGGACAAAATAAAGAGTGTTCAGCCTTGAAATTCAGAGCTGGGGCTGCAAATTCAGGCAGGCAACTCTTGCCTTACCGCCAGCTAAATGCTGGGTGCTGGTTTTCAGCATGGAGCATCTCCCTACAAAAGTTTGCACGTCCCCACATTGATGGGACGAGCTGTAAGGCTCCTCCGGCTCGTGGAGGGGAAGGAGGTGGTTGTACAGGACATTAACAGGACATCCATCCCCTCCTGCAACTCCCAAGGCACCAATTACAAGCCAGTGCAGAAGACTGTATCCACAGTGGCTGCTGGCAGGAGGGATGGGGCGGGCAAACGCGTGTGAAGCCGTCATCCTACCGGAGTGCCGGAGCGCCGAGAAGCCCTGCTCATCCTCCCAGCCCCAGGCAGGCTCGCTGTCGTTGAACACTGCCTGGAAAGGAGGTGCTTCATGGTGCCAGGTCACATCAGAGCTGTTGGGGGAAAAGGGAGATGGTTAGCCTTCCTCCGGGCGCTGGCAGAAAGCTGGGCCACCACCAACCTGTCCTCTGGGCGCAACGTGACGGCACATCTTGGTGGTGTTAAATGCAAGGGGCAGTTTTGGAAAGTGAACAGGCTGAGTGTTGTCAGAGTGGGTCATAAATCCATTTGGGGTTTAATATGCGTTATAAAGATTTATATGCTGTAAATATCCCCAGCGTGGTAAAAAAAAGCAACATATATGATCTGGAGAGTGGGGTATTATTAAAATGCGCAGTCTTCTAAAAGTCAGAGCCTGACTCTTAAGTCCAGTGCTGTCAATGCAAGTTGAATTGCAACAGCAACAATATTACCCCTGTGGTCTCTTCTCACTCAGATCTTCCCAAGGCTCACATTTTGCTCATGGAGATGAAGCAATGGTGAAGGTTATGGAAAGCCCACCATGAGTCAACACCTGCACCAAGATCCAACAATCTAACCTCGTCGGTGACCTGCCACCGTGTGCCAGGCACCCAGGTGAACTGCAGCCTCAGCTCCCACTCCATCTCCAATTCCTGACCATACCAAACCCCAAATAATTTTATATAATAGATATTCTTCAGGCTGCATGCCATGCATCAACTGGGGCGGAGCACTGCTTTCCCTGGGATGGAGATTGTCGGGGGATTGCTGAGGCTGAAGAGGGGGTGAGCAGGACCCTCCAGCTCACCTGCTGCTGCGGCAGTCACCGGTGCGGGGGTCACAGCTGCGGGCGCAGTCGCAGGGGCGGCAGCCGTAGGCACCGAATCCCCAGTAGCCGGGGAGGCAGTGGTCGCAGCGGGGCCCCGCCACGCCGGGCTTGCAGGGGCAGTCGCCGGTGCTGGGGTCGCAGAAGGTGCGGGGGCCCAAGGGTAGCATGGCTGATCCCAGGGGGTGGCAGGAGCAGGCTGCGGGAGACACCGTGGGGGAAGAGAGAGCATCTGTGAGTGCAAAAGCTCTACGGGATGAAGGCGCAGGAGATCCCTGCGAAACTGCCACTCTACCTAGGTGGACAATGATGTTTCTGGGCTTTTTTTTTTTCCTCTTGCCTATATAAATCTGTCCAGAATCCCCCTTTAGAAACCATATGGCTTTAACTTTTGTGATGTGTCTTAATTAGTCAAACTACCTTTGTTTTGCATTATGTTTTGCCAAACAGGCCTTTACTACTTTCCTTACAGCATCTGGACTCCAATCCAAAGTACCCAGGGATGTGCCTGGCTCTAAGGTAACTATTTAACCAGCTGTGGAATCAGGGTCAAGGTGCTTCATTCCAAAAAATGGACCAGCGCATAATTGCTTTCTAAACTAATTACAGCTGTCTTGCTGCCAGGAGGTTAAAAAAACGCACCTCAGAATGGTCATTTAATTAAAGTGGAGGCTGATCAAAAAGTACCCCTCTGTCTTTGTCTGATTTTCTTTTAAAGCCATCATTTCAAAACATTCAAAAAAGAGCGGGGCCACAGATGGCTCAGAGATGCAGAGATGTGTACTCCGGGACACGGGTTTGCAGACCTCATCTCAGAAACACCGGCTGCTGTTTTTTCCTCCTCCCATAGCCCCTTGCAGCAGAATGATGCACTGGAAGTGTACTGGGACAGTAGGATAAATGACCATTCTCACAAATCGGAAAGAATGCCCTAAAATAGGTGGTGTGAAGTTTTCCTTGCATACTTCTTAGGATATTTCTTTTGCATAATGTAATTTGTCTCTGTTGCAAGACTACAATCTTTTTTCTCCCAAAGATGTTAATCTTTTCAAAGGTCAGAAATACAGTGATCAAAAGTGTGAGCCAAACCTCTGCCCATTTGGCCTGGCCAGCCGGGAATGCAGTGCCCTGCAGGACCAGTAGCCAAATGACTCACGGTCTCCTTCCCTCAGGGTTTGGTTCTCTGACCAGGATGTGTTACGGTCAGACTTGAGCATTATGGTGAAAAAATCCCTGCTGATTGACTTTTGTCTAAAACTCCCTGTACATAAAAATTGGATTTCATGAGAAAATTTCATTTGGAGAGAAAATTTTCACCAAATTCTAATACAAATATTTCTATTTTGCAACTGTGAAGGCAATAAAGCAGAAAAGCTATTGCATGCAACACAACCTTTCTTTCTCTTAAAATACTTATTGCTGCACACATATTTAACTTTGCTTTGACAACATTTTTGTGGTTTCAGGGATTTGACATACCTGGAATGTAGTTTCAAAATATTAAAGGATAGATTAATGTCGGCAGTTAACTTAGAGGCGACTACAATTCCAAAATCTTTGCCAAAGTAATCCCCAAATTTTCCCCACCCTTTCGATTCCCAAACAAATATAATTATATAAAATTAAAAGATTAGAAAGCCTCTCCACAAACTGCATAATTAGCTGCAGGCAGTGAACTCCAGTACCTTTAATAGCATAGTTTTCAGCAGCGCTCACCGAGGCTCGCATACCTTTCTCCTGAAGTCTGTGAAGAGTTTTACACCTGACACATGTAGCCAAATGTTCTCTTTTCCTACTAGATGTGGTGGGTATTTCTGGCATTCCTCAGCCCCTTCAGGGGAAATATCAAGCACTTAAAGCTCTTCTATTCTGCTGCAGTCAGGGAGCTAAACCCACTGCTCAGAGAGAGATTTGGTCCTGTTTCGGTTAGGTTTCAGCTGAGTTTTACACCCAACCCTACTGGGGGTTGGAGTTTTTTATGTTTTTAGACAATGCTTTCACGCATTGTTTTTCCTAATGGCAAAATTTAATGGCAGTGGCATCACCATGGTGAGGCAAGAATACTAAATTTACAAAAGTTGTTATGAAAAATAGAGCAGCAAGCTCTTAGGCAATTAAAATGGCAACTAAAAATGAAAATGTAGTTGGCTGTAGTTTTTAATAAAGGCTACAAAGAGATGTGTTGTAAAGGTTGGTCATTTTTACAAGGGCTGCGCACCCACCTCCATGGCCCCCCTCCTTCCTGGCTGCTCCCTGACGAGCTACCAAAGCGTCAACTTGCTTTCCATCAGCGGCCAGTGAATTGAAGGTTTTCGGTCTTGCATCTTGGGTGGAGACCCAAGATGACACTAGGTGGCATTAATCTGGATCCTTTGGGTGGCAGATTTACACCACAGTAAAAGTTTGAGACGTGCTGCAGTGGGAATGTGCTGAGCAATGCAGAGTCATAAAGTGTGGCCCATCACTATGCACCGAGCACAGAAATGAGACTCTAGAGCTCAAATGTGAGCACGTTGTACCAACTTTGAAAGAAATGTATGAAAATAGGACCAAGTGCTTCCATAATATGGCAACGGCAGGAAGAAAAGGACTCCAAGACTGATTATACAATATTTTGGCAGCTGCAGCTCCAGCGCTGCGCTGAGTGTTGGTTTTAGACCCCGTTTTCCTCCTTCCACCCAATCTGCTCCTCACTGTAGGACAGGTAGTAGGAGAGCCACCTCCAGCAACGTGAGAGGAGCAGCCAAGCAGCAGATAAAGAAGCTACAGACAGTGCTGGATGGCACTTTGTGGTGGATACACAGGCGCAGAGCGCGAGACTTTCAGTGAGAGGCTTCGGAACAGTGCCTGTCTCGTGTGCCGTGGCCACCCCGCTGGGGAGGCTGGGGGTTGCCATGGCCAAGGGAGCTCCAGTGAGAGAAGGGCTGGCTGTGCACCGCGAGCCTGGGACTAAGATAAACCTTCCACAAGCTTGATCTTTTTGCTTTCTTTTGGATTGAGAGGCAGCATCGTTAAAATGCCAATTTACCACCCTGCACTACATAGCAATATTTTGCATGTGACTTCCACGTACATATGAATTAACAGCTGCCTGTCCCGGCATCGCATGTGCTGATTGGGATCGAAACCCAGTGAATGGGACTTCAGCGGGGCTGGATTTCCCCACCCTGGATCGATGATACTGCTGTGGTTTCTTCAGCTGCCAGCTAACCTTTGGAAATGACAAATATTTACCCTCAAAAATCTACAGTTGAAAACCAAAAATAAACTCAGCAATTATAAAACCTGATTTATTGTCTGCAATTATACTGTAGTTGAAGCTTAAAAATTCATGAGGGGTGTAAAGAAAAGATCCGATAGGTATGGCAGGGGGGAAGAGTCATCAGATTGCTGTTTTAAATGGCAGAACGTCTCATTTTATCGGGTACACACCTACTCCTGAGCAAATATTATATACACTCTGCCTACAAGAATCTTTAAAGTATCCTTAAAGATTATGGCTTAACAACTCTTTATTTACTTTGACCTTGGCATTTTTAAATTTTCAGCGTTACCCCGCGGTTGAGCAATAACGGTGCCTTGAGCCAGGAGCGAGCAGGCAACGCTGTGGTCTTCCCAGAAAAAATAGCCGGGCCGGGCACCACACACGTCCCTTGTTATTGCAGACCATGGCACGGCCCTTGGAAACGTGCCAGGCATAGACTGTAATCGGTCTTATATAATTTAATTTAACAGTTATTAGTCATTTGCTACTGCCCTGCAAACTGCCCGGCTCCCCCGTGAGATGCTGGGTCCACGGGTGCAGGGAGAGCCCTGGCAGCAGGAGACCAGAAGGAAAACGGTGTAGGGGTCTTAGGGAGGAGAGTGTTTGTGAGGGTTTGAAAAGCCCAGAGAGAAATAATCTGTGTGTTTGGAGCAATAAGGTCTCTGAAAGCAAAGTATTCAGACAACCCCTATATTTTTATGGAACCAGTTTATGCTGTGGAAAGTTGTCCCCCTGAGATGTTGAATACTTCATGCTCTGTAATTCATAAATACCAAAAAAAAACCGAAAAAGAGAGCAAACAGGATAGATGTACTTAATGCAGAAGGTAAATAAATGTAGACTTTTTCTCACTGTACTCCAGGCTATCTTACAGTTCTTGTCAAACATATATTACCTTTGGCCTTTAAATATCAGAATTCGTGAATACATAGTGGTCCATAAAGAGGCTGGATTGTTGCATTAAAGAGTAATGGAAACAAATTTATAGTCTTTATGTCAGGCACACTTTTGGGGGGGGGGCAAAATGTGGAAAGTGGAATGCCATGGGCCAGTGATTTAGAAATGAATGCAGAAATCTGAGAGGACCAAGCACATCAACAAAAATACCCGTTAATCATCTCATCTCCACAGCTTCCTCCTGCCCAGAAGGGCTGGGAGAAACTTTTTAATCGAGTCTCCTGGGAGTTGGCTAACGTGACGTGATGTTATGCTTGACTTCATTAGTGCTGGTCTAACTTGCACACAGGCACACGCACACTGTTGGCAGCCTTCCCTTCGAGCCGTGGCTGTTTTGCATCGATACGTCCCGAGACCTCTGTTTCCATCTGGTTTTGGAAGGAAGGAGGCTCCATGCTGGCCAGCCCAGGAGGTGCCATTTGACTTCCTCTCAGACCCTCCAAACAGCCACGGGATTTGGACTGGCCATTTTGGCACCAGGAAAACCCTACGATCGGTCCCTTGTGAAACTCCATCTCCTTGACGGGCTGCATGACACATCACAGGAGATGGCGGCCACTCTACCACCTCCAAGGTGAAGGCAGTTATTTTCAGCTGTTCAGAAGACCACACTCAAATCAGTGCCAAAGCTTGACTTGGCTTCAATGGCCTCAGAAAAGCGCATCCTCTTCTCTCATGGGAGTTGGCACATAAAGAGCATCAAGAATTGCAATCCTAGCGAAGGTAGCACAACCCCACTAAAAGCATGTTTTGGAGCTTGAGAATTTATTTCAGTATTTTGTCCTGTGTTATCTGCCAGGAGTCAACTAATCCTTTTTTTTTTTTTTTTTAATCAGCAAGGCTGAATCCACGGGTGTTAGGAAAAACCCCTCAAACCCCTGCTTTGAGTCTAAGTGCAAGATTTAAACCTGTTTTTTTACTAAGCAGACCCCAAAACAAAAGTTTGTTGCATAAATTCTGGCGATAATTATGGAGGGAAAGTGTCTGATGTTTCAGAGGAGACTTGGGACTTCAATGTACACAAGTAGGTAAAGGAACTTTAAAAAGTCATTAAATGAACTGTTTAAAAATCCAAATTTGTGTACATACTACAGCAGTGAAATAATTATTTACACAAGTAATGGAGAACTGTGGTCAATTCTGTTTTCATAAAGAGAATTAGGGTTGTAAAACAGGAGGTTCAGCTGTTGCTGGCATTTTTTTTGAAAGGTGGAGAGGAGGAGGACTTCTGCAACAGGCTGGCGGGGCCACTGGGAGTCTCACAAGGATGATGTACAGCAAGGGAGCGGGACAAAAGTGGTTGTTCCCCACTAGACCCTGCAGACAAAAGCGAAACCCTCCCAGCCCAGGTTGCAGCTCCCCAGCCCAGAAGGATTTCTCTTCCTTTAAACGCAGGTACTTCTCCTTTGGATGAGAGAGAGATGTGCTCAGTGTCCCCTCAAATCACACAAGCAGGGTGTCAGTCGGATTTTTTTCTGCCACCCATGACGGTCCTCCTCCAGATTTGGGTCAGTGAGGAGAAATCTGGCGGAGCTGGTGGGTGGCTGCAAGCTCAGAGCAGAGAGCATGCCTGCACCCTATATTTAGCTGACCAGTGTAATGTGCTCAGCCCGGTTTGTGGATCCGGAGTCCCCCACAGTGAGTCACCATTGCTCACAGTGGTCCCTGGGGAGCGCGGCTTTTGGATTGCTGCTTTTGCTTGGGAAATATTTGATTTCACATGTGGCCAAGTCATTGCCTTTGGCCCGGTCTCCTCGGTGTCATGCCTTCTGGAATATCACTTAACTCGTGTTCCCGTTTCTCCCTCCATACCCACCTGCTGCTGCTGTGAACACGCGCTGGTAGGCGATGCTATTTATCAGCTGCACCCATGTTGGCTGAGGCACCCTGCTTCTGAGATTGCGGTAATCACCAAACAAGGAGAACATGCAAACATGATGCAGCTTTTGCTCTCCAAAAATAGCAGGAGAAAGTCAGTGAATCATCTCTCTTCCCCTGTCCCTAAGCTACAGGGTACTTGGGATAGATTTGTCAACAGCATCTGCAGGTTTTTGCCCTGCAAACCACACAATTGCTTTTTGCAAACAGCATCAAAAAGGGAATTCAAAGAGCTCCCCGTCCTTCACTGAAGGAAGAAGGTTGCTCCAAGGAGAGGCAGGAAGATCTCCCCTTTTCTTTGACACTCTCCCATTTGAGAAGCATATTACTAAGTACAAGGTTGCTGACTTACGTTTGCAGGCGTCTGGGGCAGAGAAGGGCTTCCTGAGGTCCCGGTAGAAGCCCGGCTTGCAGCGCTGGCAGTGCTGCCCTTCCGTGTTATGCTGACAGTTATCACAGACACCGCCGCTGCGATTGCCCGATGCCAGCCACGCATCCATGTCAAAATGACAAGTGTCGGCATGCCCATTACACTTGCACGCTGAGACAAAGCCAAAGGGAACAGAAAGACTCATTAAGGCAGTGAAAGATGTTGATTTACAGAAAGGAGACACAAAAACCCAAACCATGTTTTGGAATGGGAGACCTGACCTATGAACCCATTATTCATTCAAATGCATGAAGTATCATCACATTTTCATCCACGCTTCCCAACCTCTAGAGGTGACATCCAAGACAAAATAATTTCTTGAACTCTTTTATTTCCAGTATGGGCTTCTTGGTACAAGGACAGCAACATGGTTAGGCCAGCCCAGGGAGACTTCCCACACTGACTGGTCCTGCTGGGGCAGGATCCTTCCCTCCCTGCTTTAGAAATCAGCAGTGCTCCGTACAGCATATACCACACGGGTGCTGTCAGGATGCTCCTTGCATCTGACAGAGGGAAAAGGCAGGTGGAGGGGGTGTGTGAAAGAGAGCGAGCATCCCCCTTTCCCTGTGCTGGCAGTGGAGGCAGTCTAGATGCCCACACGCCTGAAGTCAGGGGCCAAGTGAGATCTGTTCGAACCCCTGCTCATCAAATGCTGCTGGTGTAAACAGGGATTCACTGTCATTCCCTTGAGGAACATCCATACTGCAGTATGACTGCAGCCCACATAGGCAGGCTGATGGTAGCTTAAGTGTTGATAGCATCATAGCCATGGCAGTGGGATGGCACTCGGCATGTCTGCAAAACTTCCAGGGTGGCGTGGTTAATCTTCAGCACCCTTCTGGCTAGACTGCTGCTGTTACTGAAGCAGATTTCCCTGTGATCTCTGCGGTCCCCTGCAGCCTGCACTCACCCTGAGCATCCCTCCCTGGCACCACAGAAGTAATCCCCAAGCCTCCCCAGAGCTCAGGGGTCCTCCTGCTCCCAGTGCCCAGTGGGTAAGCAGAGCCCATGTCCAGCAGCAGAAGGCCATACCTTCTGCAAATGTGTTTGTCAGTGGTGCCCATGGAGGGGACAATGCTGGCCTCCCATCACCTCCAAGGCACCCTGGCGGGCTGCAGTCTGCCTGCAGCAGAAGACCGTATCTCAAGGAGATCCACTTGGGTCCCACAGAAAGGCTCAAGCAACAGACAACATGGTCTTGTGAGGATGTCCAAGCTAGGAGCTTTGTGAACAGGGCTGTTCCTGCCATACAAACATGCGGTGGGTGCTGGGCAGGAGTGTGGCATTGGGTCTCCACTCGCTGAGCTGCCTCACAAGCACCTGCCCACCACCCCAGTATCTGCTGCCTCTTGGAAACACAGGAGAAAGGCACACAAGGAGGAAGTGTTTCACTCCCACAGAGGCTCTGGAGATGCTGTTCCTGGCTGGCTACTTACACTGACACTCTCTGGGGGCTCCGGTTTTGCCGTCGGCAGCCTGCCAAGGTTGGTCATTGTAGAGCGGGGCACAGTGCTGGCAGTGGGACCCTGCTGTGTTGTGCTTGCACATGCACTTCCCATGGACCTAGCAGGGGAAAGAGAGCAAGGATCACCCACAGCAAAGCTCAAAGAGTCTCTGGGGCATGAGCAATGCCCACGTACAGGAGATACCACACCAGCTAGATGCTATTACATAGACAAAAAAGAGGGTTAGCATGATGTCCAGCTTGGTGTCTAATTCAGTCAAAGGCAAATATTCTGCAGTTACACTTTCAATTAGATTAGTATTTGTGGATCTGTATGTCATGGTATTGTATAATCACAGCAGGTTTTGGTTTTGGGGATCTAAAAGAATCTTTAGCAGAGAGATTCTAGCTGCAGCATGAATTTCCTGGAGACATTAAAAGAAGCCAAGATCCAAAGCATCCTTGGGAAACATCGTAAAATATTTCTCTTTTTCACCCTCCCAAACATCAATATACCTTTGAACACCTGCAGGAATAGCACACACAACCTCAGCACCCAGCTCTGTGTGCCCAGACATCACCAACAGAAATAAGTATGAGAAGAAAAGAAATTCAAAGCCCTGAAACATAGATATGTACTCATCCTAGGCACAGTTTCTGTGCCACAAAGGAAGAACCAGGGATAGCACAAAGACCATGAGTGACTATACTCAGATATGACAGATAGGTAATTTAACAGCTAGACAGCCTAGTGTAAGGGGGTAATTAGAGATGAAAAGCCAGCGTAGCACACTCGATGCCAGCTGCCCTGTCAGCCTCTGGCATTACTCACACTGTTGGCAAATCCAAAGAAAACAGGACGTATCCAGAGGGCAAGAGCAGCCAGGCAGCCCCGAGATGCAATGAAATCAAGCTCTGAAGCAGCATGGCTCTGCCTGCAAGGCTGAAGGCCTTGCCTATTTCTGTGGAGCGTGGTGGGCAGCTACCTCCCATAGCTATTTCCGTGGCTGCCTGTGCTTGCAGCTTTACTCTGCTCGACTTTTTGCTTTTAAATACAGTTTTCCTAAAAGCATTTCAGCTGCAAGTCCCTCCAGACATCTGATACATGGCCAGGCTCAAGACATGAACGCCATCCTGCGTTTGATGAAACACAAGCCAAGCGGTGCCTCACCACCCTGGTGCCCCTTCCTTCACCAGTCGCAGGGAAGTTGATAGAGAAAGGAAGGCAATAAACTGAGTGCAGTTCAGCTTCTCCCGCTGCTCTGTAAGAAGCTGGAGACCTCAGCCTGCCCTGCCAGTGTGGCCCCGCACTCATGCCACAGGTTGGCCATAAAACCAAAAACCAATGGAGCCGGGGAACTGCACGAGCTACTGGCTGCTTTCAGCATCGGGAGCGACACAGGGCGGTCGGGATAGCCGGTGGTCTAGCCCAGAACTGGGGCATGGCTTTAACTTCTACTGAAAAATGCTGCCTTTCACTCTGGTTAAGTTGTGGTTTTACAAGTGTGCTGTTCGTAACTGTATGACTTGCTGCCGAGACCTGACACGAAAAAGGCTCCTGAGAAAAACCCAACCAGTAAACAAAACAGAAGAGGACCTTGAGCACATTGCAAACATCTCCTGCTTGTTATGAGGGTGCACACCCCCTCCCCCCATCCCATCCCACCCCCCCTCCGGCTAACCATGACTTTCTGATTTCTTTTTTTTTTTTTTTAATGAATAGATTTTAGCTGATATTTCACAAGGGTCAGGTGTAACCAGTACAGATAAAACTCCAAAATTGACCTTGAAGGTCCTTAAAAGACTTTTTAGTGGTAATGCAAATTGCAAAATATTTTGAAAACTTTTCAAGCGATCCTTTCCTGCCTTATTAAAATGTCTGGATCATCAAAGCAGGAATAAGCAAAATACAGTAGAGCAACTGGACTGCGTAAGCAATGGACAGATACAGATGGAGTCAGACAGAACACTCAAGCATCTAAGCTAAAGCACAAATACTAAGATAACATTGCTTTCTGTGCTATTTTGGCCTCATCACATTGATCAGTTGGTCTCACCACAGATACTAGTTGGTCCGTTTGGCTTATTGTATTGATATGTGCTTAGAAGTGTGCTAATGTTTGAAAAGAATGAGAAGTAAATACAGAAAAGAAACAAAACAAATTTGCAGAGGGAATATTTAGTTCTCAAAGTGCGTCTCATTTTCATATTTTCATTTTTACTACCACCTACAAAGCATTCTTCTTCAAACTCTCAGATGTCTTGCTTTCCTAAATTATCACTCTTCAACAAAATTTCTCTCTCTCATGTATTTTTTAGGCAAAGCTCACACCTTTGCCAATGCTACGGAGCTACTTTACACATATTTAAAAGCATCCACCTGCATGGAAACAGAAATTGCTTAAACTTTTATTAGTCATGTGGTCATCTCCTGGTGGTTTTGATGGAGCCCTAACTCTTTGATGCTTTTTTTTTTGGTAGGGGTTTCTTGCAAGTCCTTTGGCCATTGAGTGGTTAGTGTTAAACAGGCTGTAGTAGCCTGAACCTCTGTGGCCAGAGAAATACTTCAGCTTGTTCCTCTTCAGACTGATCCAGGTCTGAGGGTAGAGGGATGAATCAGACCGGGGATGTGTGTGATTGGGATGGGAAGGCGACCTGAAGGAGCCAGAGGGTACCATGGTCAAAAACAAGTGGTCCTTTGGTGATTTGGCGATCATGATGCCAAAGTAAGAGAGATGTGGGAGAAGACTTGCAAACAGGGGCATGTCTCAGCCATGGTGGCTCTTGGGATTACTGTGGGAACTCATGCTCCCGCTGCCTGTGCCCACAGGATGCAGCCTTACCCCTCAAATTCAGCTCCCCCCTTGCCAAAGCTGCACAAAGAATCAGTGGGGACTTCGTCAATCAGCCAGCGGCTGCTCAGCATTAATAATATATGACTCCGAAACTCAGCAGCACCTAAGAATCCCTCAAAGGATTAAGCATCCCAAGACACCAGCACAGAGCTGGGCAAAACTCCCCGCTGAGGAGCATTCACAGTCCCAAGGCACAAGAGCCTCCATGTTCTGAAAGCCCAAGTACTGTATAATAGAGCATGCCGCGTTGCCAGAATAGGGGGAGGTGGAGGAAAATAAAACAGAAGAGGACGGGTATCCCAAGAACCTGATGTGCAGCCATTAATTTGGCATGCAGAGCTAATAAGTAAACCCCTGAATAGCTGTGCGCCAACTTCTTAATCTGTATGTGAATGCTAAAGAAAGAGGTTTTATAAACTTAAAAAACTGCTGCAGCAACAGCAGGCTTGTGGGCTCTCACATGCTGTGGCAAGGAGCACTGCAAAAGACCCAAATTTGGAGATAGTTCAAATCAAGCCAGCCAGTGTTTAGAGAGTCCCCAAGGCAGAGCAGGGCATAATGCTCCTGGTTTTGATTGCTTGTAAAGGTACGATGGACCTAGGGAGAAGGAAACGCACGGTCTGGCTGGAAAGCTTAAAAAATAACAGAATAGCACAATTCCGACTTCTGCGTAATGGCAAGTGCAGCACCAGCACAGAGGTCTGTAGGTGCAGGCTCCCCAGCCATCTCGGTGGGGCTGGAAACCTGCTCCCACGGCCAGTGCTGGGCGCCGGGCGAGGGCTGTCGCAGCCTGGGTCAGGAGGAACCACATGTTCCTCGTCCTTATCGTAAGGGAGCTGCTTTGGGGTCTCCTTTCCTCCAGGGTTTATCACAACCAGATGCTTCAGTATCTTCATCAGATGCTCCCTCCCAAGCCCAGATCCTGCAGTGGGTCCTGCATCCCCTCTGCAGGAGCTGCTCAGCCTGGTGTGGGCTGGGATGGCTGTTCAGTGGCCCAGCCTGACATGCACTTTTTGCAAACCAGCGTGCCCCTGCTTGCCACTGGGCAAGGGAATCACAATCTCAGCAGGACTCATGCCTGGGTGAGCATCCACATGGGGGCACAGGATGTGACAGCCCGGCTGGCCCTGCTTCTCCATCCGATGCTCAGGTTCTGGTCTTTGGGAGCAAGCTTTGGAAAAGGCAGCTGGGTTCCGAGTTCCCGGGGTGCTGAGTCTGTAAAGGTCACTCACGGTCTTAGTGCTATCCCTGATTCTTCCTTTGTGGGGCAAAAACTCTGCCTAGGATGAGTAGATATCTAGTGGCGCTACTCAAACAGGTCAGATCCTGAGAAAACTCTGCCTCTGCAAGGTCCTCCCGGGTCCCACGGTGGCCCTGACCCCTCTCAGCCAGGCAGAGCAGGGTGCAGACCTGCTGATGAATAAGCTGAACAGCTAAATGGCCCGCCTCAACTGAGCAGGGGGGGGAAACAGGCTCTTTAATAACTTGTTCCCCAGTGCAACTGCTTAGCTAATAGCTTTTTATTCCCTATTGCTTTTTTCCAGAAATTTAATGAAAGTCAGACCTAAGTGCTTCAAAAACCTTGCCTCAGGCTGATGTATTTCTTCTCTTTCAGTAGCATTATAACGATTACCCCCCAAAAGAGCTCTGCTTTAAACATCTCTCCATCCTAGCTTTATCTCATTGAAGAAAATCTCTTGTCTTCTACATAATTCCAGCATGACAGAAAAGATTTTTGTGCATCGCAAACAACAAAAGAAGGTGAATATTAGCAAGCCCTTTCTTGCAGCCCACAGGCAGACAGGTATTTTTCCCAGTTACAAAGAAATACTGTGACAGCTGAAAAAGAAAGGACAAGAAGAAGGGGTAATAGAAGGAAAACAGAAGCGGTGGCAGGCAAAATACAACCAATGGACTGTCTGCACTGGGTGAAACGAATGCCTGTAAGATCTGCAGGAGGGCCAGATGCAAGACTGTGATGCTCTGTAAATTCCCCATCGTGCCACGGATCGGCTGGGAGCCAGGGCTGAGACACCAGCCCGGTAGCTCTTCTGGCACCCAAGGTAGAGCAGGGAAATGATGTACTTGGCCTCGGAGATTTCTCCAGCATCTCAGCACCTTTCTGAAGGTAGAATGTGACCCCCACGCATCAACAAGGGAAAGAAGACATTTTTCCCTCCCTTTTCATTCACCTCGATTTACATTTAACTGTAAGGCGTACCCACTTGGGTCATTCTGGAGCATCGCTAAGTACACAAACACAATTCCAAGAACGTCTCACCCCTTTAAGCATTCACACGGCTCTTGACTCATTTAAGCGGCAAAGCCTTCTCATACCATTTTTCATTTTGTCATGGGTCTTTACATCCCAGTTCACTTTCACACTGTTTCCCTTCTTAGCTCGACAGCCCCGTCGCAACGTCAGTCATTAGAGGGCACAATGCAAACAGTGTTACAAAAGTTGACTTCTGTAAGATAAACGAGCGACTGATTTCTCTATACAAAGACAGTTGCTAGGGCATGCTTCCTTCCAGAGCCTTTTGTTGCTGAATTATAACCTTCCAGCGTTTCCTTTCAGGTTGCAAATACATGGGTTTTTTTTCTTTAGTTGAATCTTATAAAATACTTTCCTCCCCATTTATCATGTTCCAAAATGCTGGACAGTGAGAAAGAAACGCTACGTCGAGGGAAAAACGCTTTCAGTCACCTGTTATGAATTGATTTATATTACAAGAACTCACCCACTATAGAGTCAAACACAAACGCACACTAAACGAAGACCAATGTCCCAAAGACCTGATAGTCTAAATAGGCTAAATAGCTGGGAGGGGCAACTGCTTTTAATAGAGTTTCTTTCTTGGAACTGCTAAAATTGTATTTTCTCCATTTTTTTTTTTTTTTTACTTTCATGGAAAATGGGCATGATATCAGCCTAAGGAAAAATCACGGCATTCATGTCGACTCTGTAACGATAGCCTTTAAACTGAAGCCACTGTGCCAATTTTAGAACCGATGTCTACTGGCTGCTGTCAGCATGCGGGGAGGTATTCTTTCCCAAAGCACCAGACAACCAAATTTATGCATGAGAAAATTCTCATATCCTATCTTGTTCTTGTGAAAGAATACAAAGCTTGTTGTCCAGGGTGTGGGGGCTGTCTGGTGTGTTTTTTCTTTAATTCCTTGTACAATAGGCCTCTGTCACTGCTGCTGGAGAAGACCTTCAGTATCTTTTGATGTCAGTAGCGTGATAACAATTTATAACAGCCACTGGGTTAGCTATGTGGGAAGGGGGAGGAATATTCACCCAACCTGACTATACAGAAGTGCTTTAGCACGGTAGCTCAGTATACCCAGGATCCCAACCATACGGTATCCCCCCACACCCCTTCAGAACTATGGAATGAGCCTGGGGACACGAGATGGTTCCTGAGGACAAGAGGAAACAGCTTCAAGTTGTGCCAGGGGAGGTTTAGATTGGCTATCAGGAAAAATTTCTTCACCGAAAGGGTTGTCAAGCGTTGAAACAGCCTGCCCAGGGAAGTGGTTGAGTCACCATCCCTGGAGGTATTTAAAAGATGTGTAGATGTGGTGCTGAGGGACATGGTTTAGTGGTGGGCTTGGCAGTGCTGGGTTAACAGTTGGACTCGATGATCTTAAAGGTATTTTCCAAGCTCAACAATGCTGTGATTTCTACTCAGATTGCAGCCAGATTGCAGAGCAGGTCCGATTCTTGACACAGGCAAGAGTTTTGCAGCTGGCCAGAGGTGAGGGCACAGAAACAAACCTCTTCTCTTACCAGGTCTTGGCTATTGCTTTTTGCTGTCAGGGCTAATGCAAAACAATTTTTTCTCACAGCAAATGTTTGGATTCTGTAAAGTCCCCCTTTACTCTGACCCAACTCAGAGGGATCACAAAGGAGGTTATCCCACCCCAGTGAATGGAGCTAGAGCTGCTTCTGCTGGGGTGGAAGGAGCCCCCCATTGTCCACAAAGCCACCCTGTTCGCATCTTACTCCCATGCCCTAAATATGTCCTGGGTCAGTGTTATCTCATCGCCAAGCTGGACTTCCAGCCTCCCTTCAGCCACCTCCAGCTGTCACGAAAAAAAACATCCAATGGCAGAAATCCCATGGCAGCAAGCCCTGTCGATGTCCCAAGCTGAGTGGAGCATCCTGGTCCCCTGGGTCAGGCTCCTGCACCAAACCTGCCCAAGCAGCAGCTACCAGCATCCCTGCATCCCCACGTGGCTTTGTCATATCCTCTCTGGGTGAGATGGCTGAAATGCTTCTGTCACTCTGTGAGATCTTCCTGAGACCTGGCAGCTATGCCCAGAGCTGCCCGGACACCCCTTACTTACTGCCCAGAGCAGCACAAGATAAAAACAAATATATCACATCCCGTTCTTCCACTGGTCAAGCAGGGACTGAAACTAAACCTGAAGTTAGGATTTTGCCTGTGGGCTAAGACCAAGTAGAGGGTTAAGAAAACTTGTGTATACTTTTTATTTGGAAAAGTTTGGGTTTTTTTTTAAAGGATCTTAAACTTGCTTAAATTTTGATGTTAACTCTCTAACTTCGGGGATATTCTTCAGGAGTGCTCTGGTCAAAACAAGCATAAAAAAGGAGCTAAACTTTATAATTATATTGAGAAATGGTAATGTGTTTCCCACCTTTTGCTGTCCTTGGTTTTACAGCGAAGGTTCTGCTAAAACCCCATATCGATACAGCTACATAAAGAAAAGAAGACTTAAGTCCCCATCTTACACTTGAATGACTGACCATAATTCTTCAGAATTATCTTTTATGTAACTGACCTTTCCAGGTGAAATGTGCAAAAGGCCTCCCTCTCTGGAGTCCTACTCTCTTTTCAGAATTTTCCCTGACTTCTCCCAGCTAATCAGCTACAGACCCCACAATTTTTTGTACCCTTTTCTGTTCATTCACGCACACACGTCTTGCCATCATCATGGAAATAATCTTCTTCCCATCTTGAAGCAATGCAAACCTCTGGCAAACCCCAGCCCGGTATGCACAAGTGGGGTGCCACCACAGTCCCCAAATCACTGCAGCCTCGCACCAGACAGGAGCCTGGCACAGACGGGGCTCAGCCCCAGCTGCCCCAGTCCTGTGCTGGAAAAAGTGGTATTGGGAGAAGAATCATCTTACCACTCCTTGACCTGCCCTGCAAACCATGGGGCTACGTCACCCCTACACTGGCACATCCCTTATGGGACATGCGGAATAAGCTGTAAGGCACAGTAAAATGAGTCAGCCTCACTGCAGAAACGTCACCTTTGGGACTCCTGCCACGTACACATTTATAACCAGAGTTGAACTTCCAGTCCCCTCGGGGCTGGCGCAGGGGTTTGTTGCTATTTCTTGCTTTGGTTTTCGGTGCAGTTCTGGCACTAGATTCCTTCCCACAGCACCGCCTGTTACCTGTGCACAACGGTTTCCATAGGCTGTAGCCGTACTGGACGGGACGCGTATTTGGCTGCAGGCTCTGTTACAACTCTCAGCGGTGCTCCAGAGCACACTCCCGTGCAATTGCATCCCACTGAAATAATCCCGGGCTAACAGCCCCTTTCAAAGACTTTCGCTCAGGGAACATCTGTGGAAAGCAGAGCAGCACTACTTGAAACAGCCTTATCAATCATAGCGCTGCACACTTTCAAATTGCTATATTTTCAAGCTGTTGCAAGACTAGCTCTATTAGAAGGGAAACATGCTGTCTGCTTCATGTCTGAGACCATAATTTAAGTGAAATGAGAGTTCCCCGAAGAGCTGGACAGATGCCAGACCTCCTTACCTCGAGTAACTGCCTTATGGGTTTTTTTATGGTCTTTCCCTTTCTAATATTATTCAGCGCAATACGTTTGACTGCCCTGGCTTCCCCTACTGCGCCTCCGTCAGCAAAGCCAGGACTTTCAGAGACAGCAAAGACAGCCAGGAAGGACAAGATGTCTTGAGGGAAGCGAGACCAGGGTGTCCCCAGGCGGGCAGGGTGCAGGCACACTATGCCGCAGGTGTCCAACACGTCGGCCGCTGCTGTGCCCATCACCTCCCCAGCGGGTTAGTGGCTCCTGCTTCTCTGTGATGTGGGAGGACTGGGGTTTATGTCTTGGTCAGTCCCAAGGGATTTGAGCTCAGAGCTATTGTGATGGGAGTCCCCTCAAAACTGGAGCACAGGGATTTTATCCTGACAAAGGTATTGCAAAGTGCAATGGAAAGCCTGGGAGTGAGAAGCAAATCCCAGCTCTCCTCCCATTCAGTTCAGGAGCCAACCCAGTATTTGATGGTCCTTCAAAAGCAATGGCAATCACAAGATTCCTAGTACATTTGAGGAAGCTGTCTCTATCATCAAAATGAACTGCATTTATTATCTTTTAGATATTGTGTTATTGAGAGTCAGCATCTGGGGGAAGAAGGGAGTCACCAATTTTAATTTATTTTAAGGAAGCACCTGAAATAAATAAAATTAACTTACCATGGAGCACCCTTGAAGGACGAGAGTCCCGGTGGATCCTCCACCGAGGCACAAGGCAAGCCCAGCCCCTCAGCCTCAAACCACCTCCTTTGTAAAGACTGCTTTTGCTCACTCTGCTTGGAATCCAGGGCATCACATGTCAAATACCGTATACCTAGACCTATACCATACTCTATACCGTTCCCTACTGTTTTTAAAACTCTGCTCTCCTGTGGTGCAGACATTGTCGGGCACGTGTACATACCACGTGGAAAACGCCAGCTGCCTTCACGGGCTTGAATCCAGCAACAGGGACGCAGTGGTCAGCGTGGCCATTGCAGAAGCAGCTGCCCTTGACGATGAAGTCATAGACTGCGTAGTTCAGGGGTGGCGGGGGCTGCGGAGGCTGCGGGGCCGGGGTGGCCGGGAGGCAGGGGCAGCCCTGCCTCTCCAGCAGCCGCACCCGCAGGTTGGTGATCTTCAGCTGCGCTTGGGCTTCTGTGCTGTAGGGATTCTCCGCGGCGTAAGGCGGTGACAGGGCTCGGTATATCACCTGGGCAGAGAAACGCAGCAAGGGTATTAGAAAGGAAGACACCAGCCAGCCCTGTGGCAGGCTGCGGAGAGGGATGGCAGTGGGACCATCCCCCAGGAGCACACAGCAGGGTCTCATGATGCTCTTCCCCCTCCGCAAGCACTGGGAGCAACAAAGCCACCTCCACCACAGTGTGCATGAAGTGACCCGCTGTGCCCCTTTCCACACGATGTCCAGACCCTTCAGGTGTGAAGCGACATCTCACCATCAACTTAAAGCAGAGGTCGATGCTGCTGGTATGCAGCATGGCCCAGCGCAGGGACCGGCGGTCCTGCAGGTGATGCTGAGGTGAGGGACCCTTCATTAACCTCCCCTCCCCTCGAATGGGTGGGTTTTTCTAACAAATAAAGCTCAGTTTTCCAAATATTTGGCTCCTATCAGTCCCAGCCTGCTTCCTAGTGGAGAAGTGATTCGGCGTGGCAATTAGCGACAGCAAGCTGATAGCTGAGAAAACCGAGATAAGAAAGAAAGAAAAGCGGGGGGCTTCTGAAGTTTAAACAAATACTTATCAGTCAGTCTTTATTTTAACTTCAGCCTGATTGAATAGGTAAATATTGGCTCAAACTGAAAATTGGGAACACTCGATAAAAATAACCAATTTTCTTGAAGAGGTTTATTTTATATGTGTTGGTCTAGCTGCCTACAGTGTGACATCAGAAACAGCATATAATACATATAGCTATTATTCACATAAAATGACATGTTAACAACACATGTACCAGTTACTTGTACATTTCATCTACAGTGACACTTTCTAAACAGTTAAATAGCTCTTCACTGAGTAGCCACCAGAGGCTCAATGAACTACAATATTTGTAAGCAACATTCAATCAGTCACTTGACGAGTGTAACACAGCCTAATGGCTTGATGCGCTGCTCCCAGCAGCGGCTTAAAACCTCCTCAAACCACCCATGCCACCCAAAACAGCTCCTACGGACAGCAAGGAGGTGTGTGGCAGCAAAGGGCGACCATCATTTCGCACCAGGATGGTGCTGCGGGGTGCCCGGCAAAAGGCAGTGTGTGAGCCTTGGGGGATGACAGTCTTCTCTCCCTAAACCCACTCTTCCCGAAGGATGCAGCTGATACGCTTCAGCTGATGAAGGCTTCCCTTTTATTTCACCAGGATTCATGCATCCTGGCAATAATGACCCCAGTGCTGCCAGCTCGCCTGCCTGTGGGCTTTGCCTGCCAGCTGCCGCCTCTACCAGCCGCGCCGCTGCTGGCACCGCTTCTGGCTGGGACCTGGTTTTTCTCCAGAGCTGCCAGGATCCGGCCGAAGGAAGCTTTGTCCCAGCCTGGAAGGAGATTTAGAGCTCATTTTGGAGCTGAATGGCGGCAGTGTGCTTTTGCACGTCCCATCAGCCTGCCAAGCATGGTCCTTACCAGCACACCGGTGACAGCGGGACTTGGGTGTGCTGGTGCCGGGCACCGTGCACTGTGCAAGCACCTTGTGGCTGCAGCCTGGCACCACCATGCTGCAAATGCTCCTTCCTAAAGGTATTCCGACATCTTCTGCCAGAAAGACGTTAACAAGGGAGAAGGTTAACTGGTAGAGGTGGTCATAGGGCAAGGCTGGTGAGTGGTATGCCCCTTGTGCGGAAGTGTTGAGTCTGATGAGGGATATTAATAAATAGTAACACATTTCAAAAGGTTTTTTCGTTTTTCCTCTCTTTCAGGAACACACAGAGTTTTTTCTGCTTTCCTAAAATAAAAATATCAAGCAGATATGAACAGAAACCCAAGAGAACCCAACTATCAGGTCCTGTACCTCTCCCCAAGGCTTGTTATTTACCCAAATTCAAATCAATGCCATTCTGATCACATTTCTTTGTTATTGCCTTTGTGAACACAAGATGCTTTCAGATATGGAAAGAAAATTCCTAGGAAAACATCTAAACTGGAGACACTGATTTCCTTTTAGTGGAGATGATGGAAAATGCCATGCTGAGAATTTTCAGTAAAAACTAGCAGTTTGGGTTCTTTGCGATTACATAAATTGCATCTCAGAGAATTCTTTGTTCATCCTGATTCAGATGAGATCGTCAAAGGAAATGCATAAATGGGAACAGCTTATGCTAGATTTAACTACAGACTTTCTTCTCATAACTTTCAGTTTTTCTTGTTTATCTATCCCCGTTTAATGCACGTGACTGATGCTCGTAGCTCTAGTAAAGACAATGACAGCAAGGAAATCAATAACCCTGAGCGCCTTCGCGCCAAGAGAGTTAAATCTTGCCTGTGTGGAATTCAGGGGGAGTTATGCTGCTGCTTTCAATGGAGCCAGTATTCCCTCTCAGGCCCTAAAATGTTACAAACATTTCTTTTTATGGCTACTTGAAAACAGTGATGCTAAACATGAGCCCTATCTGTAAGTCCCAGGGGCTGCAGGCTCTCAGCCGCTGCCCCCGGCTGCCCCGTATCGCTCCTGCCGTGCCCAGCAGCCCCGGCCCCGGCTCCAGAGCCCCCCTACACCCTGCAGCAGGGCAGTGTAACAGGGTGAGCCTAGTCCCAGTGCTGCCAACACAGTAAACACCCTCGTCCCTCCGTCCCAGACGCTAGCGGCTCTGTTTTAGTAAAATACAAACCGGTCATTATAACATGTCGGATGCCATACAAACAGCAATTCTCTGCTCTGCCCTGGCCGACTGAGCTGGAGCTCCCAGAGGCTGCATAATAAGGTCAAGGATGTGTTTACCAGCAAGATTTTCCTGTTCAGTTGTTAACCTCGCTGATATATTCCAGCCCATCTCATAAGTCAGCTCATCTCTGGGGCCACCACACCCTCATTCAGCTGCTACGGGTCTGCACCCCTGTGCCCAGCACCCCAGCCCCACATATACATACATGTGGGTGCCAGCTTTCCTGCTTTTACCTCTTCTCGGGCTTTTCTGTGCAATTCTCCCACCGATAGGACCGGCCCAGGGCTGCAGCATCCTGTCTACAAACAACCCATGGTTTGCACAGCAAAACTGACTGGGTTTTCACTCCCACGGTTCTGCTGGCAGCCCCTGGCCACTGCAGTCAGAGGTGTCCTCAACCAAAAAATTTTTTAGTTTGCAGGTTTGCCCATGCAGGGGAAGCATGTAGGCAGGATTTGAGAAGAACGCATTGCTGTCACGCATGTGCACCTGATGATCGGGTTTTACAAGCTCATCATTTCCCCAAAGGCACTGGGTAGGACTTCAGTGCTTCTGCCCAGCCAGGGGCAGATGGCTCCTCTGGTCGACTCTGTTGAGCCAGCACTCCCAAGCCGCTCTGGGATGCTCATGGTGATGTGCTCAACCCACAGCCATCATTTCCTCTTTCTGACAGTTTCCCAAAGCTCTCTGGGTTTATCCTGCTAAAGCCACACAGAAAACATGCATGCCAGGCTCAACCCGCGGGGAGAGAAACTCTCCCCACTGGCTCTGCCACCACAGTCATGGTTCTGGCTGATGTGGGCACATGTCATGTCAGTTTTTTAGCTGTTGGGGCAGCCCCTCTGCCAGATGTGATGGGGGGATGGCAGTTCCCTCCCATCCCCCAGAGAAGTCGCTGCCTGCAGAGCCATCGAGCCCATTACTTTTCCTATGCCAAAAGCTCTGGAAGAAGCCGTGCCGGAGGGTCCTGCCAAAGAGCCATGTTGTGATTACACAAGGGAGATAAATAGCTCCAAGAGGTACAGGAGAACATCCTTTTTGATAGATGATGCTGTTCCTGCTTTCATAGAGTGAGGCCTCTGCCAGAAGAAAGTTCTGCCACACACAGAGGAACACACTCCCTTGGTGGTGGAGCAATGGCAGCAGAATGTGGCCATCTTGCACACAGCAAGCCTCACCAGAAAGCACCCCATGGTGACCAGACTTCTGGCTTTCCTACTCTAGTCTGTCTCTGTGTATGTGTCTTACCAACAATGTGTCAAACCTCAGCATTACAATGTCAGGTAGACGATGTGACTTCTAGCAGTAGCGTAGTCAGCACTATGAATGATAGCAAAGGGTGGGAGGCCTGGATCTTTACATCAGCAGCTCTTTAGTGCATGCAGTAATCCAAATTTTCTAGTTTGTAGAACAAGTAGGAAGTAATAAATTGAAAACCCACAGCACTTCTATGCTAGACATGCCATAATATATCCTATCAGAAAGATATTTTCAGTCCCAGTGCTGCTAGCTCACTATAAATCTTGTGATATTTGGGATTATTCTCAAACACAGTCCCAGGAACTGAACCTTTATCTCAGCTTCCATTTAAAACTAAATATCTAGCAATATCTCATATCTGAGCAGCAAATGTCACAAACTAGGAGGCAAATAGATAAAACACCTGTCTTTAAAACAAAATATCTAGCATTTGGGGTAATGTTCCTTCCATGTTGGATCCCATGTCCTATAAATGCAACATTTGCATGAAGCACCATCAACAGAGGAGGGATTTAAAAGTTGCATGGCGATATTTTTGGCGGGGTAGAAGTCTCTCTACACAGCCAAATAGAAACTGTAGACTGCAATCCCTGAGTGAGGAATGCCACTGATATGCCTCAAGAGGGACGGGTTCACCTGATCCCCCAGTGGGAAGCCCGGTGGTGGCAGGAGGGAGCCCACTCCGCTCCCAGGGAAGCAGGAGCGGACAAGCTGCCCCACAGCGCCTTGTGCATGCCATGGAGTAAAAATATTCTGCTCTTCAGCCAGACCGCTCCAGTTGTCTGCGGTTTGGGCACATCATTACATAGACACCCTCTCATAAATTTCCCCAGCGTTTCAATTTCCTTATGGGCTGTCATGAGCAACTCTTGCTCTGTTGATTGCTTCACTTTATTTTGTCTTAGTGGTGCAAGAAGCCTTAGCTACTTGCCATTCCACAGATGCAATAATGTAGCCCTGTATATAAATAAAACAGCAGCCATGAACATGGTGCACTCAAGTAACCGCTTGCACCACAATGACCTTGATTTATAAATACATAAAAGTCCCTTTGCAAGAAG